AAAAAAAAAAAAAAAAAAACAAACCTACAGAACACTACTACAAGAAACCAAAAGAGACCTACATAAATGGAAAAACATGCCACATGCTCATGGATACAAAGACTCAACATTGTGAAAATATCAATACTACCCAAAGCAATTTACAGATATATTGCAATCCTGATCCAAATTCCAACATTCATTCTTTAATGAGATGGAGAAACCAATCACCAACTTATATGGAAAGGGAAGAGGCCTCGGATAAGTAAAACATTACTGAAGAAGAAGAATGAAGTAGAGTCCTCACACTACCCGATTTTAGAACCTGATATACAGCCACAGTAGTTAAAAAAGCCTGTTACTGGTACAACAACAGACACATAGACCAATGGAACAGAATTAAGAACCCAGATGTAAATCCATCCACCTTTGAGCAGCTGATATTTGACAAAGGCCCAAAGTCCATTAAATGGGGAAAAGACACTCTCTTTAACAAATGGTGCTGGCATAACTGGATATCCATCTGTAAAAAAATGAAACAGGACCCATACCTCACACCATACACAAAAACTAACTCAAAACGGATCAAAGACCTAAATATAAAATCTAAAATGATAAAGATCATGGAAGAAAAAATAGGGACTATGCTAGGGGCCCTAATGTGTGGCATAAATACAATACAAAGCATAATTAACGATGTACAAACACCAGAAAATAAACTAGGTAACTGGGATCTCCTAAACATTAAACACACTCATCAGAAGACTTCACCAAAAGCATAAAAAGAGAACCTATAGACTGGGAACAAATATTTGGCTACAACATATCTGACAAGGGCCTAATCTCTAAAGCTGATTGAATTCTTCAACACCTCAACAACAAAAAGACAAATAATCCAATTAAAAAATGGAAAAAATATATGAACAGACACTTCAACAAAGAAGACATTTAGGTGGCTAACAGACAAATGAGGAAATACTCCCGGTCATTTAGCCATTAGAGAAATGCAAACCAAAACTACAAATGAGATACCATCTCACTCCAACATTACTATCATTAATCTATAAAACAGAAAATAACAAATGTTGGAGAGGCTGTGGGGAGATTGGGACTCTTATGCACTGCTGGTGGGAATGTAAAATGGTACAACCACTTTGGAAAATGATATGGTGCTTCCTTAAATAGCTAGAAATAGAAATATCATACAATCCAGCAATCCCACTCCTAGGAATATATTCTAAAGAAATAAGAGCCATCACATGAATAGACATATGCACAGCCATGTTCACTGCAGCATTATTCACAGTAGCAAAAAGATGGATATAACCTAAGTGTCAATCAACAAATGAATGGATAAAAAATTTGTGGTTCACACCCACAGTGGAATACTATGCAATGATAAAGAACAATGATGAATTGCACAACATCACACAACATGGATGAATCTGGAGGGCATTATGCTGAGTGAAATAAGTCAATCACAAAAGGACAAATACTGTATGAGACTACTATTATAAAAACCCTAGAAAAGGTTACACACAGGAAAAAACCATTCTTTGATGATTACAAGGGAGGAGGGGTGGGGAGGGGAAATCACTAACTAGAGAGTAGACAAATGTTAACTTTGGTGAAGGAAAAGACAACACACAATATAGGGTAATTCAGCACAACTTGACCAAGGCAAAGTTATAGCTTCCTAGACACATCCAAACACATTGAGGGACTGAGTTACTGAAGTTGAGGGCCGGGGACCATGGTCTTGGGGGACATCTAGGGTCAACTGGCATAACATAGTTCATAAAGAAAATGTTCTACATCCTATCTTGGTGAGTAGCACCTGGGGTCTTCAAAGCTTGTAAGTGGCCATCTAAGATACAGCTATTGGTCCCCATCCCATCTGAAGCAAGGGAGAATGAAGAAAACCAAAAACACAAGAAAATATTAGTCCAGAAGACTATTGAACCACATGAACCACAGCCTCCACCAGCCTGAACCCGAAGAATTAGATGCTGCCTGGCTACCACCACTGACCGCTCTGACAGGGATCAATATAGAATCCCAGATAGAGCAAAATTCAAAATCACAATAAAAGATCAGACTTACTGGTCTGACAGAGACTGGAGGAACCCCCAAGACTATGGCCCCTGGACGCCCTGCTAACTCAGAACTGAAGCCACTCCAGAAGTCCACCTTTCAGCCAAAGATTAGACAGGGCTATAAAACCAACAATAACACATGTGAGGAATGCGCTTCTTAGCTCAGTAATGTATACGAGACCAAATTGGCAACACCTGCCCAAAAGCAAAGACTAGAAGGCAGGAAGGGATAGGAAAACTGAATGAATGGACCTGGGAACCCAGGGTAGAAAGGGGGATAGTGCTGACCCATTGTGGGGACTGCAACCAATGTCACAAAACAATTTTTGTATGAATTTTTGAATGAGGAACTAATTTGCACTGTAAACTTTCACTTAAAACACAACAAAATAAAAAAGTATTAGGTTGAATTACTTGGCTTGCTATACTTTTCCCAAACTATAAATATAAGACAGCAAAGAGGAGCAGTTGTTCTTTCTGTTATTGTGATGTCTCGTACTGGCATGAGAAAGCTAGCAGTTTGGTCAAGACAGTGGTTTTTGGCCAAAAAATTTCAATTCCCCGTTGAAAGAGATTTTGATAGTACAATCCATTTCCATCTGCTCCGCTCCAAACTGGCTCTGCCATGTTGTAACTCACACTCTGATAACTTCAGCTTCCCCAGAGAATCTCAAAAGGCTTCTTTTCTCCTGGTGATGATTTGTGGTATGGGGGTGGGAATGGTCTCGTGAGCAAGGAGCCACTGCCATGCACACATGCTGAGGAAAGCTTCTCTCTACCTTGCAGATTGATGACAAACAGCTTCGGGGTTATTTGTCTGAACTTCGCCCGGTGACAATTGTGTTTGTGAACCTGATGTTTAGGGACCAAGACAAACCGGAAGACATAGGCCAGGCCATCCAGGATGCTTGTGTGCATATCACGTCTGTCCTGAGGGTCTTCCGAGGCCAAATCAATAAAGTTTTCATGTTTGACAAGGTAAATGTGAGCTAAGGGATGGGAACATACCAATAGTTCGAGGTTAGCATTCATGCCTAAGGATATTAGTGAGATGGAGGGAATAAACACTAGATACTTAGCCAAGAAGTATCAGACTTTATCATTATAATAATAGCTTACATGGCAGATATGCCACTTCCTATGCGCCAGGAATTTTTCTTAACACTTTACATATATTAACTCATTTTGTCCCCATGACTACTCTAAGAGGTAGATATTCTTGTTGTTATCCCAATTTATACATGAGGACGCTAAGACAAGGAAGGCAAGATCCAGTTTTGCTCATGGTCATTCATCTAGTAAGTGATGGGGCTGGGATTCAAACCCAGGCTATCTGCCTTCCCAGTCTGTGCTGTTAACCACTATGCTCAACTACCTCTCGATATACATATAAATATTTCTCCAATCCAATGTCTAATGCGTTTACCAGTGATTTTAGGTGTCTAGTAACATTCAAACCCTAGAAGCTTGTTTCTGGTGACCACCACTTGCCATATATACACCTCCAGTTCCTCTTTCATTTCTATACCTGGTTCACATCCAGGTCCCCAGTGTTTCTGATCCACTCTTAATCAAGTCAGAGAAAAATGGTAACTACCGAAGTGTTAGTAAGAACTGGTTCTCCATCTCAAGTATTTTTGTCTCTTAAGAGCAGATTACTTAATTACTGCCCCTCACCTCCACTCATCCACTAAATCAATAAGCATTTATTGGGAATGTTTTATAAGATGGAAATCTAGGGTTGGGCAGCAAAGATGAATAACTCACACATTACTACAAACCAGGTAGAAATACTAAATTCTATATGAGAAGAATCAACTCTGTGCTATGAGGGTCCTGAGGGACTGGTTACCTCCCACTTGGCAAGCTGAATGATCTTTTTCAGTATTCGTTCACCAGTATCGTAAGGAAAGAGGATGGAATCTAAGAGGACAACCTTTGGTGTCTTGAAGACATGGTTCCAACATTCCCTAACTGTGTGACTTAAGCAAGTCTTTCCTCAGCTTTGGTTTATTCATCTTTGCACTTGTCTTAAATGATTGCTGAAAGGGTTAAATGATATAATGGGTCTGCAGCCATTGTTACAGTGCCTAGCTCACAGTCTCAGATAATGAGAGCTGCTATTGTCATTGCGTGATTGAGTCAAAGGGAGCAGATTGAGCCAAATGCTCACCTTGTGAAGCTACTACACAAAATATCCAGGCAAAGAATACCCACTGGTGCCACTGAAGGGGTTGTCCTCTAGTCTTAACTCATATCTAGAATCAGGGCTTCCTCCCTCACATGAAGACAGAGCCCAGGGAGGCAGAGCCAACATGGCGCTATAGACAGAAGCACCATGCCATCCCTCTGCAGCAAAGACCTGAAAAACTAAGTAAAACAGATACAAATGTCAGTCCTGGAATTCTAAGCATCAAATGAAGGGATAAAGAACTTGATCAAGCACTGAATGGAATAAGAAACTGTCAGAGAAGAGAGAATAAGGACAGCTACAGAGTGGAGGTCCCCTACCAGCTAACGCAGCATGGATTCACCATCTTGGACTTCAGCCACCAAGAAACATGGACAGGGAATATGGGAAGGCAATTTCATGGAGCTCCCAACAGGAGACAGAGCACTTGGTAATCAGGGATACATGCTTTCCCACCCCCACCCTTCTTCCCTCTGTGTGGCTTCTGCCGCTTTCCAGTGGGCCATGTTTACTTGGCCAGAGAGACACGAGCTAACTGCTGCCCAGGTCCACCCCCTGCCAATGGCAGGCTCCCCCAATGCCATATATTTGTAATTTTTTTTGTTATTATTTTTTGGCTTTTTTGTTTCTCCTTTCCGTTCCTTTCATTTCATTTATCTTACCCAGCTAGCCCCATGCACTATCCCTGCCATTTCTCAACAGGCTGTGCCACACTGCTCAGCTAGAGAGGCACGGCCTCCCTGGTTCCATGCTGCCCCCACTGGCCGGCTCCTTCAGCACTATTTTTCTGTTTCTTCTCTCTCTCTCCCTTCCTTCCTTTCCTTTCTCCTTCCCACCTAGCCCTGTGTGCTGCACCCCCCCACCCCCGCCACATCTTGCCAGGCCAGGCTGCACTGCTTGACTAGAGAGCCTCTGGCACACAACCTCCCCAAGTCTGTGCCGATCCACAGTCCGGCTCCCTCAGTGCCATATTTTTTATTTTTCTTTATCTTTCCCCTTCTCCCTTTTCCTTTTCCCTCCTACCTAGGCCCTGCGCTGCCTTTGCTCCTTCCTGAGGGGGCCGTGCCTTACTGGTCAGTGAGAGAAACACCAGCTCGCCACCTCCAATTGCAGTCCCCCTCAGCACCATATTTATTTTGTTGTTGTTTTGGGTAATTTTTTTATTTGTTTCTTCTCTCTCTTTCCCTTCTTTCCTTCACTTTCTTCTGCCTACCTAGCCCCATGCACCACCCATGCCTCTTCTCGACAGGCTGAGCTGCACTGCTCAGCTAAAAAGCCACCAGCACACAGCATCCCTGAGTCTGCCTCGCCCCTACTTGCCAGATCCTACTGCACTGCCATTTTATTTACTTTTTTACTTCATTTTTTTGCTTCTGTTTCTCTCTGTTCTTTCTCTCACACACTTAGCTCTGCACAACAATCCTCTCCCTTCCCTCCTGCCTATCTGCACTGCACGCCTAGCACCATGCCCCAGAGTGGCACAGGCACAGACACCAGATCCTGCCCCACACTGCCCCCAGCCCCACATTTTCAGCCCCAGTTGGTGCCGCAAATGACCCACCCCTGCCCCCATCCCCACTGGACCTGCCCTGCTGCGCCATAGCTGAGCAACAGTGCTGCCAACTTGTACAAGGTGGTGAGAAGTATCATGCCCACAGGTGAGCAAGCAACAAAACACACCTAGCTCGCTTGCTAAGACATAAGCAAACAAAAAAGTAGGATGAAACAAACAAATCTACAATCAGTAAACAAAGAAAATAATTCTTGAATGTCCTGGAGACAGCAGACAGTATCAAAACTTATTTAAAAAAAGGACAGAAGAACTTGAGAAAGTGACCAAAATAAAACACCAGATGACCTCCAGGTAGAAGAAAAGGCACTGTAACAACCTGATAGGGAATTCAAAAGTATAACAGTTGGGGCTTTTCAAGAGATTAGGAAAGAGATTAAGGAAAACGTAGACAAAACTAAGGAAAAATAGACAGCATCTTAGAAAATACAGAAAAACTCAGGGGAAACACATACAAAGCAATGGAAGAAATCAGGAAATTTATAGAGAAACAAAATGTCAAAATTAATAAACAACTAGAAATCATACAAAAACTGCAATTAGAAATCCAAAGGACAGCAACAAGATTTCAGAAATAGTGCAATAGAAGGTTTTAGGAGCAAATTTGAAACAATGGAAGACAAGATCAGTGAAATGGAAGACAAATCCTTGGATACCACTTTGAGGAAAAATCAGAGAAAAGAATGAAGAAAACCTGAGAACTATGTGGGATACAATTAAGAGCAAAATTTGTGCATGATTGGAGTTCCAGAAAAGAGGGAGAAAATGGAAAACACAGAGAAGATCATTGAAGAATTGCTGACAGAAAACTTTCCTAATATCATGAAAGATGAAAAGCTGACCATCCAAGCGGCTCAACAAACCCTGTATAAGATAGACCCCAAAAGAAAATAACCAAGACATATCATAATCGCATTCACCAAAACCAAAGACAAAGAAAGAATATTGATAGCAGCTCAAGAAAAACAAAAAGTCACATACAAAGGGAAAACAATAAGACTAAGCTCTGATTACTCAGCAGAAACCATGCAAGCAAGAAGGCAATGGGATTACATATATAAAACCTTGCAAGAAAAAAATTGCCAACCAAGAATAATATATTCTGCAATACTCTTGCTCAGATGTAATGGCGAAATTAGGACATTTCCAGATAAAAAGATATTAAGGGAATATGTAAAAACCAAGCCAAAGTCACAAGCAATATTAAAGGCAGTCCTTCAGTTACAGAACAAACAACATCAGACAACAACCTGAATATAGGACCCAGACAGCATCAGCCAGATACCAACCTAGGTAATGAACTCTCGAGGATAAAACAAAACTAAAAGATTTGCAATGGGGAACCTGAGACAACAGTTCGTAAATGACAACAACATCAGAACAGTAAAAGAGGGAATAAACAAGGTAGATATAAAACTTTCAAATGGAGAGGAAGTCAATGCGATATCAAGTAATAAAAGACTAGTTCAAACTTATGAAGATAAGGGTAAATTTCAAGGTAACCACAAAGAAAGTTAACAAACCTACTCATCAAAATAAAGAAGAAAACAACGTCTTAGTAAATACAAAATCTACTAAAATGAAAGAAATGGAAAAAAAATCCACAAAAAAAAAAGGAGTTCAGCACAGGAGAGTAAGAAGAACGAAGAAAACATCAGCACCATAAAAAAAAAGCACTACAAAATTACAACAATAAACTAACACCTATCAATAATCACACAGGAGGTAAATTGCTTAAATGCACCTATGAAGAGAGAGTGACAGAATGGATTGAAAAAAAACAGGATTCATTAATATGCTGTCTACAAGAGACACACCTTAGACACAGAGACGTAAATATATTAAAAATCAAAGGATGGAAAAAAATATTAAGCAAACAGCAACCAAAAAAGAGCAGGGGTGACAATACTAATCTCACATAAAATAGACTTAAAACAAAATCCACCATAAGAGACAAGGAAGGACATTATATAATGATTAAAGGCACAATCCACCATGAGGACATAACCATAATAAATATCTATGCACCCAATGACAGGGCTCCAAAATACATAAAACAAACTCTTAACAGCCCTGAAAAGAAAAACTGACAGTTCCACAGTAATAGTAGAACATCTCAACACTCCGCTCTTGGTAAAGGACAGAACATCCAGAAAGAAATTCAACAAAGATACAGAAGATCTAAAGGCCACAAGCAGCCAACTTGACCTCATGGACATATACAGAACACTCCACCCAACAGCAGAAAAGTATACATTGTTTTCCAACACACATGAACCTTTTCCAGAATAGACTACTTCTTAGACCACAAAACAACCCTCAGCAAAATCGAAAAAATTGAGACAATACATAACATCTTCTCTGATTATAATGCCTTAAAAGTAGAAATTAATAACAGGAAGAGCAAGGAAAAAAAATCAAACAATTGGAAACTGAATGACACTTGCTTAAAAACCACTGAGTAATAGAAGAAATAAAAGCTACAATAAAAAAATTCCTAAGAATCAAACAAGTATGAAAACACATCATACCAAAACCTTCGGGACACAGCAAAGGCAGTGGTCAGAGGTCAATTTATAGCAGTAGCTGCACACATCAAAAAAGAAGAAAGGGACAAAATCAAAATGTTAGCCATACAACTCAACCAAATAGAAGGAGAACAGCAAAAGAAGCCCACAGCCACCAGAAGAAAAGAAATAATAAAGATCAGAGTAGAAATAAATGAAAGAGAATGGAAAAACAATAGAAAGAATCAACTGAACCAAAAGTTGGTTGTTTAAAAGGATCAACAAAATTGACAAACCACTGACCAAACTGACAAAAGAAAAACAGGAGAGGAAGCAGATAATCCAAATAAGAAATGAAATGGGGGACATTACAGCAGACCCAACTGAAATAAAAAGGATCATAACAGAGTACTATGAAAAACTGTATTCCAACAAATCTGAAAACATACAGGAGATGAACAAATTTCTAGAAACACACAACCTACCTGACATAAACTGTGGTAGAAAATATGAACAGACCCATAACAAGAGAAGAAAACAAAACCCGTTGCCATTGAGTCGATTCTGACTCATAGCGACCCTAGAGGACAGAATAGAACTGCCCCATAGGGTTTCCAAGGAGCGCCTGGTGGATTCAAGCTGCCAACCTTTTGGTTAGCAGCCATAGCTCTTAACCACTACACCAGCAGGCTTTCCAAACAACCTCGGTAGGTCTATATAATATCCATTTTCAGATTGAGAAACTGGGGCTCATAGAGTGAAATTGACTTACTCAAGTTTCCACAGTTGGGAAGTGGCCTGAGAACACAGATTTTCCGAATCTAGAGCTGAACCTTTTCCACTGCCCAGTTCTGCTTCTTAGACCTGAGACCTTGGCCACAGGAGAGAGTAGACAGGAGGGTGCACACAATGAATGAGTTCAGTATAACTCACTACAACTCATTCTCACCTCTAGAGCAAAAGCAAGCCCTTCTCAAGGGCTCAAGCCCTACAGTTGATGATGCACCAGAAGTTTATATATATAAAGTTTACTAAACGTAAAATAGTCATGAGAGAAATCATGATGAAGTCTGATTCAGAAAGTGAAAATTGCTGCCAACACTCCACTGGGCCTTATGGCCAGTCTAGTTTCAAGCTCTGTCCACCAGCTGTGTTTGCTGACTCTCTCCCTCACAGGGTTGCTCCTTCCTCTGTGTCTTTGGTTTCCCTGGGGAAAAGGCACCTGACGAGGTCACTCACGCTTTGGAAAGTGCTGTGGATATATTTGACTTCTGCTCTCAGGTGCACAGGATTCAGTAAGTATTGGCCCTGATTCCACCTGATTATCCCTGACCCCCTTGTAGGCTATGAGGAGACAGGAGAAGGGGCAGGTAGCAGAAAGGAAGAAGACTATCCTTCACTGGATGCTTTTCAGGTCTGCATTCATTAGTCACCTAATGTACTCATAGACTGTTCAAGCCCTGTACCTAAGGCATTATTAAGACAGAAGGATGGTAAAGGCAAGGTGGAGAAAGGACACTTCCTAAAAAGTCAAAATGTACCAGGTTTGCAAGAGAACCTAACTGGGTTGTCTTCTCATACTCTGGCTCACTTCTTGGTAGAGGTTGAACTCCCAAACCATCTTGAAGACCTGAGGTGATTTTTAATAACTGGGAGATAAAAATAGTTCTTGAGTTGGAAATTTATATAGATGATTCACTCAAAGTTAGAACTGTTAAGAAGGTAAGGTTTCCATCCCAACCTTTCCTCACTTAAGAATCCAGTGCCCTCAGACTTCCCCAGATGAGCACCCCAATGACCCTGAAATATGCTCCTTACCCTAAATATTTTTGCCTCCTTGCCCTTAGTCCTCTAGGACATGCAGCCATTCTAATGTATTAGCAAAGTTAGACTTTGATGCCACACATCTTATCTGAGTTATTTCCTTTCAAAATAATGATTTTGTTCTTCCTTAAAATAACAAAGACAGTTAAATTGTTTACAACCACAGTCACTTTACGTTAAAGTCCATTTGGGATGATGAGGGGGTTATTTTCCAGAAAAGTAGCTCAAATGAACACTTAAAAATAGCAGAAAAGTGAACTGAGTTATCACTTCCAAGAAGCTAGTTCTTTGCCACAGGATCTATTCTCAAACTGTCCCTTCTTCCAGTGGCGTCACTAGGGCTGGTGTCACCCAGTGTGATAACTCATGGTGTTACACCCCGCCCCATGGACTGCCTCCCTATCAGACCTACAGAATCCTTAGTAATATTTTTTATATTAATGTTACTCATAAATCATAATTCCCATATATCACTCCTTCTTTTCCTTTAAGTATTACTTCATTCTCAAAAAAGTTATTGATATAGGTTCACAAATACTAATTGTAGTTAAAACACCAGAAAATCTGACAAAATCAGCCTCTATAAAAACACCCACCACTCGTCTGTCAGTTTGTCATACTGTGGTGGCTTGCATGTTGCTGTGATGCTGGAAGCTATGTCACTGGTATTTCAAATACCAGCAGGGTCACCCATGATGGACAGTTTTCAGTGGAGCTTCCAGACTGAAATAGAATAGGAAGAAGGACCTGGAGGTCTACTTCTGAAGAAATTAGCCAGTGAAAACCTTATGAATAGCAGTGGAACATTGTCCGATATAATGCCGGAAGATGAGCCCCTCAGGTTGGAAGGCATTCAAAATACAACTGGGGAAGAGCTGCCTTCTCAACTAGAGTCAACCTTAATGACATGCATGGAGTCAAGCTTTCGGTACCTTCATTTGCCGATGTGGCACGACTCAAAATGAGAAGAAACAGCTACAAACATCCATTAATAATCAGAAAGTGGAATATATGTAGTATGAATCTAAGAAAATTGGAAGTCGTCAAAAATTAAATGGAACATGTAAAGATTGATATCCAATGCATTAGTGAGCGGAAATGGACTGGTATTGGCCATTTTGAATTGGACTATCACATGGTCTACTATGCTGGGAATGACAACTTGAAGAGGAATGGCATTACATTCATCGTGAAAAAGAACATTTCAAGATCTATCCTGAAGTACAAGGCTGTCAGTGATAGACCTGTTAATATGACTATTATTCAAATATACACATCAACCACTAATGCCAAAGATGAAGAAATGGAAGATTTTTACCAACTTCTGCAGTCTGAAATTTATCAAACATGCAATCAAGTGCATTGACAATTACTGGTGATTGGATGCAAAAGCTGGAAACGAAGGATTGGTAGTTGGAAAATATGGCTTTGGTGATAGAAACAGCATTGGAGATAGCATGATAGAATTTTGTAAGACCAACGACTTCTTCATTGCAAATACCTATTTTCAACTACATAAACTGTGACTATACACGTGGACCTTACCAGATGGGTTACACAGGAATCAAATCGACTACATCTGTGGAAACAAACGATGGAAAAGCATCAGTCAGAGCAAGGTCAGAGGCCGACTGCAGAATAGGCCATCAATTGCTCATATGCAAGTTCAGGTTGAAGCTGAAGAAAATTAAAACAAGTCCATGACAGCCAAAGTATGACCTTGAGTATATCCCACCTGAATTTGGACACCATCTCAAGAATAGATTTGATGCATTTGGACACTATGATTGAAGACCAGATGAGTTGTGGAAGGACATCATACATGACGAAAACAAGAGGTCATTAAAAAGACAACAAAGAAAGAAAAGACCAAAATGGATATCAGAAGAGACTCTGAAAGTTGCTCTTGAACGTAGAGTAGCTAAAGTGAATGGAAGAAATGATGAAGTAAAACAACTGAAAATTTCAAAGGGTAACTCAAAGACAAAGTAAAGTATTATAATGAAATGTACAAACATCTGGAGTTAGAAAACCAAAACAGAAGAACATTCTTGGTATTTCTCAAGCTGAAAGAATTGAAGAAGAAAAAATTCAAGCCTTGAGTTGCAATTTTGAAGGATGTAGGAAGCATCAAAAGAAGATGGAAGGAATACACAGAGTCACTATACCAAAAAAGAATTCATCCACTTCAATGATTTCAGGATGTAGCATATGATCAAGAACGCATATATTGAAGGAAGAAGTCTAAGCTGCACTGAAGGCATTGGCAAAAAAACTAGGCTGTAGGAACTGACAGAATACCAATTGGGGTGTTTCAACAAAAGAACGCTAGAAGTGTTCCCTTATCTATGCCAAGAAATTTGGAAGGCAACTACCTGGCCAACCGACTGGAAGAGATTCATATTTATGCCCATTCCACAGAAAGGTGATCCAACAGAATGTGGAAATTATTGAACAATATCATTAATATCAAACACAAGTAAAATTTTGCTGAAGATAATTCAAAGTTGGCTGCAGCAGTATATCGACAGGGAACTGCCAGAAATTCAAGCTGGATTCAGAAGAACACGTGGAACAAGGGATATTGTTGCTGAAGTCAGATGGATCTTGTCTGAAAGCAGAGAATACCAGAAAGATGTTTACCTGTGTTTTATTGACTATGCAAAGGCATTGGACTATATGGATCATAAATTATGGATAATATCATGAAGAATGGAAATTCCAGAACACTTAATTATGCTCATGAGGAACCTGTACATAGACCAAGAGGCAGTCATTCGAACAAAACAAGGGGATACTGTGTGGTTTAAAATCAGAAAAGGTGTGTATCAGGGTTGTATCCTTTCACCATACTTATTCAATCTGTATGCTGAGGAAATAATCCGAGAAGCTGGATTATATAAAGAAGAATGTGGCATCAGGATTGGAGGAAGACTGATATGCAGATGTCACAGCCTTGCTTGCTGAAATTGAAGAGGACTTGAAGCACTTACTGATGAAGATCAAAGACTTCAGCCTTCAGTATGGATTACACCTCAACATAAAGAAAACAAAAACCTTCACAGCTGGACCAATAAGCAACATTATGATAAACGGAGAAAAGATTGAAGTTGTCAAGGATTTCATTTTACCTGGATCCACAATCAATGCCCATGGAAGCAGCAGTTAAGAAATCAAACGACATATTGCATTGGGCAAATCTTCTGTGAAAGACCTCTTTAAGTGTTCAAAAGCAAAGATGTCACTTTGAAGACTAAGACACACCTGACCCAGGCCATGGTATTTTCAGTCTCCTCATATCCATATGAAAGCTGGACAATGAATAAGGAAGACCAAAAAAGAATTGATGCCTTTGAATTATGGTGTTGACAAAGAATAGTGAATATACCACGGACTGCCAGAAGAATGAACAAATCTGTCTTGGGAGAAGTACAGCCAGAATGTTCCTTACAAGCTAGGATGACAAGACTTTGTCTCAAGTACTTTGGACATGTTATCAGGAGGGGCCAGTCCCTGGAGAAGGACATCATGCTTTGTAAAGTAGGAGGTCAGCGAGAAAGAGGAAGACCTTCAAGAAGATAGATTGACAAAGTGGCTGCAACAATGGACTCAAACATAGCAAGGGTTGTGAGGATAGCACAGGACCAGGTAGTGTTTCATTCTGTTGTACATAGGGTCACTATGAGTTGGAAATGACTTGATGGCACCTAACAACATAAAAACACTGTTAGCAAAAAAAAAAAAACCCACCATCCGCAATGAAAACAGTAGCTCATGCTTATAGTGAGGGCAGACAAAACCATGTGATTCGAAGTGTCATTGTAATTGGGTAATAATGACAGCTCTGACCGGAGGGCATTAGATTCAAAAACTAAATTAGCATCGAGTTTTAGCCTTGTAGGTATAGTGACACATGTAAACTGGACTTAAAAAAAAAAGTTTTGTTGTTATAACTAACTACAGTGATATTTTTATAAAAAATAACAAATTTCTGCTGAAACACTACACAAAAATTTTATAGACAGTCATTTTGGTGTCACCCCCTCTGACAGTGTCACTGCCTTCTTCCCATCTTCAGGCCATGCACAGTTGCCCTAAACTAACTTCAAAGGGTAGAGAATTATTTCTTGAAAATCCTTTCCCACATTTCCCACCCCATTCACTATTGTTACCCCACACTTCCCACCTTCTCTAGGCTCATTATCTTTGTCCTCTTTCCCACAACTCTCTGTTTCTCCCTGGTGCCAGGAGTGTGTCCATCGGGGTTGCCAGCGGGATTGTCTTCTGTGGAATTGTTGGACACTCTGTGAGACACGAGTACACAGGTGTGCTGAGCTACTTTATCTCCACTTTTCTTTCAACAAATACAGTGCCTTGCCACTGGGCTTTGCGGGAGGAAGCACAAAAATAAGTAAGACGTGGGCCCTGCCCTCAGAAAGTTTACAGTCTTCCAGATGGAGGCAAGCCATGCAGCTTTGCTGATTCATAGCTCAGTGCTTGTAAAGTGTATGTTTCTGGGGATATGCATGAGTAAAAAAAAATGTAGTTATTGGAGGGGAGAAGTAGTAGGCTATATGCTTGTGGAGTGAGGGGCATTTATAATGATTTCCTGTTAATATTAGACAGTTACTCCTCTTAATTCTTGGAATACATTAGTCAGCTTCTTAGAAATTATTAATATTGGCATACTGAAAAATAATACTAATATCAAAAGAGAATAGTAAATAGGTTTTATCTCAAGATTTCACTGTTTTACTATTACTTCCCTCTTCAATCCTATTAGGGTTTAAGATATTCAGACATAACACATCTAAAAGTATCACTATACTGAAATAGTTATGTCAAAAATGACACTATCTCTCTGATTTTTCTTCAAACTAATACAGTAGGGAGTGTATGAGGGTGAGGGTGGGCAGGATTGGCCATGGGTTAATGGTTGTTGGGAATGGGTGGTGGGTATACTGAGATTCATTATACTATTCTGCTTTACTGTATGGTCAAATTTCTCCATAATAAACAATTTTTAAAAAGATTATCTTGATCAGAAGTATTCAAGTTTATATTAAAGTTTAACATTTAATTCCTAATTAATAGTAATTTTGATTAATACTATCATGCCAGGCACTGTTCAAAGTGATTTGCATGTATTAACTCATTAATCTTCACAAACTACACTCTGAGATAGGTATTGTTATCATCCCCATTTTACAGAATAGGAAACTGAGGTATGTAGAGTTAAAGTAATTTTCCCAAGTAATTTGCACATAATAGTAAGAGGTAGAGCTTAGGTTCAAACCTACACAGTTTGGCTTCAGAGTACACTACAGTGTACTGCCTCTTAAAATATTCCTTGAATCAATCCCAAGTGCACAACCCTCCCCCTCCAATTTGCTCACTCTTAAGAAATCATCAAATGGTTCATACACAGGAGCATAAAGACACCATTTTGTGCCTCACCTGGCAGTCAGTACCCCAGGACCAAGTTTGTACCTGTCTAACTTGAAGCAGAAGACCAGCTAGACCTCATCTGAGAGCTCTCAGGCCTGTGGCCTTTCTATAACTGAATAAATCATCACCTTGGCCTCCCAGGTGAAGCAGAAATTTTGCTGATGACTAATTGAGTTAACTCACTGCATATTTTGTAATAACCATTGACTGAATATGGGTAGTTGAAGACTAGACATGTGTTATTCACTAGAGGTAAAGGGGGTAAAGGGTAAAAATACCATGTGGGGACAGTATGGCTCATGTTATATTCAGCTCATTGGCTGTTTTCTCTATGCTCTTTGCCTTTCTCCTTCCTGTTATAGTCATTGGTCAAAAGGTCAACATAGCAGCCAGAATGATGATGTATTACCCAGGAATCGTGACCTGTGACTCTGTCACCTACAATAGCAGCAACCTACCAGCCTACTTTTTTAAAGAGCTTCCAAAGAAAGTTATGAAAGGTGTTGCAGATCCTGGACCAGTCTATCAGTGTTTGGGCCTTAATGAGAAAGTGTGAGTGGGGTGCATTAACTTTGCAATATTCTTTAATAAAGATGAAATGGGAGAATTATTATAGTAAAGCAGTTGGTCACCCATTTCAGATTTGAAGCCAATTCTTGACATTTAAGTCTATTTTTTCCCCAGACCAAGGCTCAGATTTCAAAATCCTTCATCTTTTCCCCAGCCTTATATAATAGCATGGTGGAAGACCCCGTTCTACCCTCAGTTCTGAGAATATTAGGATGATTCTTCAAAGGTTGTGCAAACAGAACAGAGAATCCCCTCATTTGTGTATCTGCTTGGACCCAGTCACCAACTATTAAATACCTACTCTAGGTCTTTGGTGAAATATATTGCCCAAGATCCCAGCTTAAATTTATGAGTGTCTCTTTGGGGTTTAAAATTTGTCAATGGCTTCCAATCATTTTCATGATAATGTTTAAACTCCTTGCAATGGCATACTGCCTGCCTTTCCAACCTCATCTCCTGCTGTGCCCCCTTCTCTGGGATGTCTAAGTGGATTGTCCTCATCACCACTCATTCCACCCCCAGTCTCCCAGAAAAACCACAGTCAACTTTTGAAATTCAGCTTAAGGATCTATTCCTTTATTAGGCTGTCTCTGGAATTACCCTGTCCCAGCTCAGACAGTTTATTTCTTTCTTCCTCTCTGTAACCCTATAGAGTATGCCTCTATTAGAATGCTTATCACAGTAAACCAAACCAAACCCGTTGCCGACTCATCGTGACCCCATAGGAGAGAGTAGAACTGCCCTCTAGGATTTCCAAGGAGAAGCTGGTGGATTTGAATTGCTGTTTGGTTAGCAGCCAAGCTCTTAACCACTATGCCACCAGGACTCCACTATATCATAATTATTGACTTGATAAGCTTTCCATTTACTACACTGCGAGCTCCTTGAGGATAGTGACTATTTCTTGTTCATCTTTACATCCCCAGTACTGGACACATAGTGGGCATTCAATAATAATGAATAAATGAATGGATGAATGAGTGAATGAATAGCTTGGAAAGTAGAAAGACATTTTACTCTTTATGTTAGTAAGCTAGTATGTTGGTTTTAAAGGGTCAGATAACAGAAGATGGGCTGCAATTGATTCAAGAAATCTTTATTATTCACCCTTGTATTCCCAAGGCTTAGCAAATTGTACTTGGCATAAGTAGGTCACCAGTAAATGTTGTTTGCATAAATGAATGAATAATAATAATTTTAATGAGAACTTATTAAATGAATAATATTTTAATGAGCACTTATTAAATGTTAGGCACTTTGCCTCAAAATGTATAATTTACTGTTACTATCAACTAAATGAGGTAGAAACTATTATTATCTCCATTTTATGGATTTAAAAGCTGAGGCTCAAAGATATTAAGTAACTTGTCGATACTTCTAGTAAGCAATGGAGCCAGGATTCAAACTGCCACAGTTATGCTGCATTATAACAACCACAAAACGTCGGTGGTATAGAACAACAAACATTCATTTATCTCATGAATATGTGGGGATCAGCTGATCTTGATGCATATGGCTGATCTGGGCTGGGCTTGCTCACTTGTCATGGGGTTGTTGGCTGAACTAGGATGACCTCAGTTAGGATAGCTGGAGCTGTTTGGCTGATGTAAGTGGGACAATTTGGCTCTACAAGGCTTATCCTCCAGCAGCAGGCTAACCCAGGTATATTGTCATGGCAAAATCAGAGAAGCAAGAGAGAGCAGGCCTCAATGCATTTTTTCAAGCCTCTTCCTGTGTCATATTTGCTACGTCCCATTGGCCGAAGCAATTCACAAGGCTGAGTCCAGAGTGGGAGGGCACTGCATAGTTACATAGCAAAGGTATACATACAAGTAGGGGTGAAAAACTTTGGCCATTAATGCAGTCAATCTACCACACAAAACCAAGACTGTTTGATCCCAACATCTGCACTACGCATGATTTCTCAAACCTTCTCAGTAGATAAGAAGGTAGAAATGCAGACACAAACATGAACAAGGTCTGGTTCCTGTTCTGAAAGTTCACAATCTCATGGGGAAGACCAGCATCTACAAAATTAGCAATATATTGCACGGGAGACCTTTATATGTGCTATATAGAGGCATAAGAAAATAGTATAGTAGTATAGAGAAGAGAAGGAGTCTTGGTGGCCAAGTGGTTAAAGCATTCACCTGTTAACCGGAAGATCGATGATTCGAACCCACCGGCTATTCTGTGGGAGAAAGATGTGGCAGTCTGCTTTTGTAAAGATTTACAGCCTTGTAAACCCTATGGGGCAGTACTCTGTTCTGTAGGGTTGTGATGAGTTGGAATCGACTATGATGGCAACAGTTTGGTTTTGGTTTACAGAGAAGGGAAAGATTCATTCTGACTAAAGCGCTCCTTCAAGAGCTAGTATTGCGTAGTAGACAAGCGTATGTACCCTGGCCTAGGTTGAGATACTGATTCTATCAGTGTCTTAAGTCACCACTAACCATGGGATTTGGGGCAAGTTAAACTGTGCCTCAATTTCCTCATTTGTAAAATGTATGTCATGGCAGTCCCTTCTTCATAAGGCTTTTGTCAGGATTAAAGGAAATGATATATATAAAGCCCTTGGAACTGTGCCAGATAACGTAGCATGTGCTCTGCAAAGGCGAACTATTATTGTTTGAGCAATTGGTGGAATCGTTCCAGGATATGAGACTTACACCATGTCCATGTCTATTGGGTCACATATTGGGTGTCTGGTCTCCCCAGGAAGGGGCCAGTCCTAAAAATGCAGATTCAACAAACATTTATTGAACAATGTGCTAGGTGCTGTGGTAAGGGCTGCTACATAAGTTGTTTGGACTCTCTGTTACCAGGTAACAACTTCTGTTCCTCTTCCCTTCTCTAGGCATCTGCAACCCTTGAGTCAAGGGACAAACTCTTGTTAGAGAAAAGAAGGCTTTCTGGGAACTAAGAACTAGTCACTCTTGCTCTCAATATTTCCTTGTTTTGAATCTAACATCTTCTTTTCTTCTTCTCTTCAGCATGTTTGGTATGGCGTACCTCATCTGCAACAGAAATGAGGGTTACCCTTTGCTGGGTAGGTAGTGGGGACTTAATTTTTTAAACTTCTTTATTGAACTATAACAAAACATACAGAAAATCACACAAATGATAAGAGTGCATCTTAATGAATTATCACAAAGTGAATGTAAAATTACTGTCCAGGTCAAGAACAGAAAAATATCAGCACCCCAAAACTCCCACGTGCTCTCTCCTTCTCCCTTTTCCCAAAGACTTCCAACATCCTAGATTACTTACTTCTGTTTTTTAAATTTATGTAGATGGAAACATACATTGTGTAATTATGTACATCTGCCTTCTCTTAGTGAACACTATGGTAAAAGATTCATCCATGTTGTTGGGTGTAGATGTAATTCATTCACTTTGATTGCTGTATAGTATTTCATTTATAAATATACAATTTGTTCATTATGCTATTTAGTGCAACATTTGAGTTGTTTCTAATTTTTTGTTTTTATGAATAATACTGCCATAAACATTCTTATACAGATCTTCTGGTGAACATATATGTGCATTTCTGTTGAGTATATATATATATAGGAGTGAAATTGTTGGAACAAAGTGTACAACTTTGGCAGATGATGCCAAACAGTTTTCCAAAATAGTTGCATTTATATTCTGACCAACAGTATTATAAAAGTTCCAGTTGCTCCTCATCCTTGCCAACAACTTAGTTTTATCAGCCTTTATAATTTTAATAATTTTTTTGAATATGTAGTGGTATCCCATTGTGGTTTCTGTTTGTATTTGCCTAATGTGATTGAGCTGCTTTTCATAGGTTTATTGGCCATTTGGACGTCTTCTTTTGTAAAGTGTCTACACGAATTTTTTTTTATTTTTTCAATTTTGTTGTATTTTTACTATAGATCCATCAGATTTATTTATATCTTCTGGAAATGGGTCCATTGTCATTTGTTTGTGCTGCACATAGCTTTGTCCAGTGTGCTTGCCTTTTTATTCTGTTAATGATATATTTAATGAACAGAAGTTCTTAATTTTAATGAATTCAATTTATCAATCTTTTCCTTTATAGTTAGTGCTTTTGTATCCTATTTAAGAAATCTTTCCCCATCCAAAAGGCATGGAGATAGTTTTCTATGTTCTCTTCCAGAAATTTCATTGTTTTGCCTTTTACATTTAGATCAGCAATCCATCTGTAATTAGTGTTTTTGTGATTCTTGGTGATAGGAACCCTGTCATAAAAAAAAGTTAACTTGAGCTAGTTAGGGAAGTAAACCTAAAATGATGCAGGGATAACACTCTATGAGAGAAGAGGCCCATGAAGATTGGCCTGTGGATTCTGAAGACAGCAATTTCTAGTAGCAGTTTTAATTTCCTTTTGTTAGACCTGAATATACCTGAAAGTTTCATCATAAGTTAAAGCCTGGTCACAGCTCTGTTAGGGCAACAAAGAGAAGGCTCTGCTCTACACTTGTGAGGAATGCTACACCAGAGTCTTGGTGTCAATAGAGTCTGAAGGAAGACAACAGCTCTGAGAACTGCCAAGGGCACTTGAGCCAGCAGCCATGCCCCACTTGTATTGCATTCAGGCGGTTTTCAGAGTCTTCAAGCAAATCACTCCTTGAAGTCCAAATTCCCAATCTCCTGAGGCCCACTCTCATCCTAATCTGAGGTCTTAGTTTCTATCCCAGGATATGCTTGTGACAATGATTGGCAATAAGTGGAAGTCCTAACCCCTTCCATGCAGACCCAGTATGACAGTCACATTAGATCACATTGATACAAAATGCATAGATTTCTCAGAGTCTAGTCTTATTGCCTTTTTCCTTGATTCCTCCAGTATGAGGGAGGTGGATATCAAGCCCGCACACATTTCCTTAACCAAAAAAATCTAAACCAGTTGCCGTCAAGTCGATTCCGACTGATAGCGACCCTATAGGACAGAGTAGAACTGCCCCCATAGGGTTTCCAAGGAGAGGCTGGTGGATTTGAACTGCTGACCTTTTGGTTAATAGCCATACTCTTAACCACTGTGCCACCAGGGCCCCGCATTTCCTTAAAGCTGTAGCCAAAAAAACAGACTGACACAGGTTAGCAGTTCGGGAAACGCTCTTCTTTTGTGAGAATGCCTGTAAATAAAAATTTATATATGCTAATTAACAACATGGAGCCCTGGTGGCACAGTGGTTAAGAGCTCGACTGCTAACCAAAAAGGTCAGCAGTTTGAATCTACCAGCTGCTCCTTGGAAACCCTATAGGGCAGTTCCACTCTGTCCTATAGGGCTGCTATGAGTCAGAATTGACTCAACGGCAACTTATTTGGTTTGATCTTTTTTAATTAACAACATAGATGACAATAAACTATACTACAGTGTCCTCTTGGTGTCAGGGCCTAAACATCTATCCTTGGATTAATAGTCCTGGTTTTCAACGAAGACATTAGATAATATCTGGGTATGTATTTGCTCTATCAATGTGTTACAAAAGTGGCCCCCTTCAGTGATCTATCCAGAAGATAATGAAGAGTCTGCTCCAAATGAGTCTCCAACTCTTTTGACAGAAATTGCTCACAGCTTCGACATTACACCTCTTCCAGTTCCTTTCCTGTCTACCCAGGTCGCCAAAAGGGTAGCGTTCAGTGTCAGATGTCAGCCAGGGCATCTTGTTACACATATTTAAAATCACATAAGAAAAATTACAGTGATAAGGTTAAGGTGATTTTTTTTCCTTTCCATATTTTCTACAGTGAGCATGTGTTATTTTTATAATTAGAAAAAAAACAATTTATTTTTACTAAGAACTTAGGAGGTTCTTATGATAAAAACAATCTATACATAATTTTTGAAGGCAATTAAATTTTTTCTGCTCACTGAAATGCTTCTAGTAGTCTTGAGACAGGTGTGATTTCTCATTTACAAAGAGCAAGTTTCCTTCATCACAGAATCTGAAATACAAATATTTTGTGCATAATTGTTCAGTATAGATGCTTAATTTTAATAAATTTATTTCAAAATATAATAATCTAGATTACTTCTAGTGTGTTATAGCAAAAAGGAAAAGGAAATAGGCTGTAGGGTCAGAACTTAATTTTTGTGCAATCTAAACAAATCTCAGTTTTATACATTATAATTATATGAACATTATAGTGAGTTATAATAATACTTTCCCTCACAGCATGTGGGAATTAAATAAAACTATGAAACCACATTATTAACTGTAAAGCTCTAGAGAAAGATTTTTAAAAATTTAAAGTACACAGGGTCTTCTTCAGAAAGTCCACGATCAATGCAATGGAAATTCCAAGAGTATTCTTTAAAAGGTGTCACTATGTGCTTTTTAAAATATCTCTTGACTATTTTATGTTGATTGGGTTTGCTCCCTTTTAAAAAAATAAAAATAACAGGACGTGATAAGGAGATCAAATACTTCATGTGTACTATGAAGGAATATTTGATGTCTAACTGTAGCCGAGTTCTAATGTATGAAGGATTACCAGGATATGGAAAAAGCCAGATACTTATGGAAGTAGATTACCTGGCCCAAGGTGAGAACCACAGGTGAGTGTCTTGGAATTACCATTATTTTGTGAGCCCAGAGAATTCTGAAGTCCTTAAAAGAGTTTCATTTGTTTTGACATTCCTCTCATTTCTATAACTTGCCTTATGTAAACTATTCACAATTCTATTAATTGGTGGGTGCCATGGCCATTGTGCCAAATAAATAATGATAAACATATTGAACGAAGAAAAGAGAAACCAGGCTCACCCTGGAGGCCCTGATTAATGCCAGGTGGGGCTTGGGTATCAGTATTTTAAAGCTTCCTAAGTGATCCCAATGTGCAGACAGGTTTGAGAGTAACTGGCATTGATGTTGAGACCGAGACTAAATTGGGTCTGCAGAGCAAACACTTATCCAGCCAGCAGCACATGGAATCAATGGTTTAAACCATTTAGCCCTGAGAGTGGGGATAGAGAAGAAGAGGCCTCTGGATCTTCCTCTGGCCTTATGCCCTAAACTAAACCAGTTGCCATTGAGTCGACTCTGATTCATGGTGACCCCATGTGTGTCAGAATAGGGTTTTCAGTGACCGATTTTTCGGAAGTAGATCACCAGGCCTTTCTTCCAAGGCACCTTTGAGTTGACTTGAACTTCCAACCTTTGGGTTAGCAGCCAAATGTGTTAACCATTTGCACCACCCAGGGACTCCTAATGTACCTTAGTTGTGTTATCTGTTTTCATTCAATGAATGTAATGAGGTTTCTCCTTTAGGATAATCCATCTAACATCCTCATGGAGGTGGATACTATGGCATTCAATAACAGTGCCAATTTGCCACTGCCATTGAGTCAATTCTAACTATAGTGACCCTATAGGACAGAGAAGAACTGCCCATTAGGGTTTCCAAGGAGTGGCTGGTGGATTTGAACTGCTGACCGTTTGGTTAGCAGCCAAGCTCTTAACCACTGTGATGACCAAAACAAGTGATGGTTGCACACACTCTTTCACCATGTAACCTAAAGGCTATAAGGGGAAAATGCTCATTACTAACCTCATATTATTTTTAGCTGTATTTCTACTCTTTTTTAATGTTAGGCCTAAGAAAAGCCAGCTCTAAAATATCTTGACCATTGCTGAGGGGATAATTCACAAAAACCAGAAGAGATTAATTCATTCATTTGTTCACTTATTGAGTACTAATTACCTTCCAGGAACTGTTAAGTACAAAAGTCCCAAAAATGAATAATATCTGATCCTTGCCCTCAAGGGGCTTTCACAGCAGAAGGGCAGAGAGAGAACAATAAAAATAGAATGTGGTGAGGGCAATAATAGGCACATGAAATAGGGTATTGTGGAAGCCCAGAGAAGGAGAGATATGTAACCCAAGCCAACAGGGAAGGCTTCCAGGAGGCTACTTCTGAGATTTAGAGAGGAACAGGAGATGAGGGATTAGGAAAGGACTGTAAGGAGTAATGGCATTCCAAGCTGAGGAGACAGAATAAGCAAAGACATGGAGAGGAGAAAGCTCTACGTGTGCAGGGAACTCTTACCAGTTTGTTGTTGGAGGGTAAGCTGCTAGTCAGACAGTGACAAGAAATGGCAGAATGAGGCCTTGGAGAATCTTGTATGTCACATAAAGGAGTCTGGACTTGTGCCTTCAAGCAATAGGAGCCACTGAAAAATTTTAAGTAGGAAAGTGATACGAGAAGATAGATATTTAACTAGATCGTTCACGCTTAAGGCAGGGTCAATAACATGCTATTTTGTGGTACTTCAGGTGAGAATATGAGGGCCTGAACCAGGGAGAGGCTGATAGGACAAGAGAAGAGGGGACAGCTAGGTTAAAGTGGTTTTCAAAAAATATGTATTTAAAAACTCTCTTCTGACTTGTAACTTTCTTATAAACAGGACTATTGCTATTGCTTTGACTAAGATCAGCTACCATCAAAATTTTTATACTATCCAGATACTCATGGCCAATGTACTAGGTCTGGATACTTGTAAACATTATAAAGAACGGCAGTCCAACCTTCAAAATAAAGTCAACACACTGTTGGATGAAAAGTTCCACTGTCTTCTCAATGACATTTTCCATGTCCAGGTAACTAGCTAGTATTAGACTTCTGTAAGAAATAGCGATGGAGGAGGGGCAGCAACTCCTGCCTTTTGCTTTATGATTTAGCATCTGTTTGGCTTTATTGTTGTTGTTAGTGGTCATCAAGCCAGTTCTGACTCATAGCGACCCTATGTACAACAGAACGAAACACTGCCCGGTCCTGCACCATCCTCACAATCATTGCTACGTTTAAGCCCGTTGTTGCAGCCACTGTGTCAATCCATCTCGTTGAGGGTCTTCCTCTTTTTTGTTGAGCCTCTACTTAATTCTTCTTTTCTTTTCTCAGGGAACATCCAGGTGTCAATGAAATGGCTCCCTAGTCCTTGAATGTACATTCATGTTCTTGACCAATATTGAGGTTATCTAAAAATACCATACTCAAAAAAATCTAGCTGGCCACCTACTGATTCATTTTTTCTCGCCTTTCCATCATAGCTAGTCTGAGGCACAAAGTCACTTTGTTCCCATAGCTGACAGCCATTACAGATACAGTGTGACCTGTTCTTCCCTGTTCATAATAGGTTCAACAAAATAGAGTGTCAGAACTGGAAGAGATGTCATTGATTATTTAACATGCAAGGACTGTAAGGCACAGAGCAGTGAAGTGACTTGTCCAAAGTCACACGGCTAGTAGTTCCCTTTACTATAGTCCCACATTCAGTATTCTCACAATTCTTTTTACAGTTTCCCATTTCACGGGAGGCTTCCAGGATGAGCTCCTGGAGAAAGCAAAAGCAATTGGAAGCATTGTTTATGAAGATCTTGGAGCAAGTAAGAGCATCTGTGGATCAAGAAATGGGGGGTGGGAGGTGAGGGGGTAGGAAGACTGGGCATTTTACCACAAAGCCAGAGAGCCTGAGGAGTTCAGACTCCATTGGCAAGAATCCTTGAAGTATGTGAAAGCTTTATCTTAAAGTGCTTCAGTCTCCTCCATCCTTCCAAACCTCACACTAAGAATCTGTTTGGAATTTAGATACACTTGAAAGGAGTCTCTTAACATTACTTCTGGGAGTTTGACTTTTCCCCAAAACCAGCTCAAATCTATATGGAAAACTTTGCATTTTCCAAGAATGAACTTATATCCAAAGGAGAAAGAATTAGGACCGGAGGAATAATTTGGGAGTTATGCATAAGATTTTAAGTACTACTGCCCATCAGGTTAAAAACTCTCATGGTGCCCAGACTCTCAGTGGAGCTTTAGGAAAAGTATGAGAAGGGATAAATTTGTAGGATCAGGTCTTCCACAATAAACTATTTCCTATGTAGTGGTTCAGTGAGAAAGCTACTCTAGTAGCATTTGGAGGTGTAATCTGGGGGTAACTGCACCTCCGTACATCCTGATTTTTGGTTCTGGCACTGATGCCAATGTACTGTGACACACTGGATGAGGACTTTTGAAGTCTATCTCCAGGGAACTAGCTAGAATTAGCTTTTGAAGATTTTCCTTATCCTATGATAAGGCCACTAGACTACATAATCTCTAAGGTCTTTTCCAGCTCCAAGAGTCTATGATTCTATAATTCATCCCTATTTATCCCCCGAAAACTCAGCTACCCCACAGTGGTTAGCTAAATGTTTAAATGACCTTTAATGTAGCCTAACTCACAAAAGGAATTTAAAGAAAAAGTCAGTTCTGAAAAGACATTTGTTAATTTTATGTAAAGCAAAACAGATTGGTGAAAGGTGTTTGGTATATGCTGCCAACCATTTATGGAAGAACATTTAGCACATTCAACATGCTGGTCACATTTTTAACTTCAAGATATTCCTCACAAAAAAAGAAAATTACAGACCAATATCCCTCATGAACATAGATGTAAAAATCCTCAACAAAATTCTAGCCAATAGAATTCAGCAACATATCAAAAAAATAATTCATCATGACCAAGTGAGATTCATACCAGATATGCAGGGATGGTTCACACATCAGAAAATCAATCAACATAATCCAACACATAAATAAAACAAAAGCCAAGAACCACAGGATCTTATGAATTGATGCAGAAAAAGCATTTGACAAAGTCCAACACCCATTCATGATTAAAAATAGGAATAGAATGGAAATTCCTCAACATAATGAAGGGCATTTATAGAAAGCCAACAGCCAACGTCATTCTAAATGGAGAGAGTCTGAAAGCATTCCCCTTGGGAATGGGAAGCAGACAACGATGCCCTTTATCACCACTCTTATTCAACATTGTGTTGGAGGTCCTAGCCAGAGCAATAAGGCAAAAAAAAGAAATAAAGGGCATCCAAATTGGTAAGGAAGAGGTAAAAGTATCCTTATTCACAGATGATATGATCTTATACACAGAAAACCCCAAAGAATCTACAAGAAAACTACTGAAACAGAAAAATTTCAGCAAAGTATCAGGATGCAAGATAAACATACAAAAATCAGTTGGATTCCTCTACACCAACAAAGAGAACTTCCAAGAGGAAGTCAACAAATCAATACCATTTACAATAGCCCCCAAGAAGATAAAATACTTAGGAATAAATCTAACCAGAGATGTAAAAGACCTATACAAAGAAAACTACAAGACACTACTGCAAGAAACCAAAAGAGACCTGAATAAGTGGAAAAACGTACCTTGCTCATGGATAAGAAGACTTAACATTGTGAAAATCTCAGTTCTACCTAAAGCCATCTACAGATACAATGCAATCCCAATACAAATTCCAGTGGCTGTTTTTAATGAGATGGAGAAAAAAATCACCAACTTCATATGGAAAGGGAAGAGGCCCCGGATAAGTAAAGCATCACTGAAGAAGAAGAACAAAGTGGGAGGCCTCACACTACCTGATTTTAGGACCACCAATGGAGTGCCACGATAGTCAAAACAGTCTGGTGTTGGTACAACAGACACATAGACCAGTGGAACTGAATTAAGACCCCAGATGTAAATCCATCCACCTTTGAGCAGCTGATATTTGACAAAGGCCCAAAGTCCATTAAATGGGGAAAAGACACTCTCTTTAACAAATG